GACGCTCTTTTTGAAGATCTTTTCCACTTGGGTATAATTCTCTAGATCCCAATAAATTTTCGCTTGCGCCATTAAGACGGGAACATATCTATCCAAAGCCTCTTCGTAATCGTTCACGGCTTTCTTGACAGCATTATCATCGTGATTCAATCTCGCCTCTTGAACTTGCTTAGTCGCTTTGCGCAATGTTTCCGTATGTTTATTAGCGAGATCGTCGAATTTACGATATGCCTCCTCTGGCGAAGTTTGTTGCGTTATTAGCGCATCCAGGAAATCGTACAAATACTGAAAATAATTTCAAAAAAAATCTCAGATACATTTAATCAAAAATTTTCCATATATAATAAATAGAGTAAATATAATCGTTAATAATAGATAATATTTAGTATAGAGAAATCATTGATATATTAGTGGTCGGATACATCGATGTTACGGTCCTGCATTTGTTATTAGAAACTTAACCTGTTTTTTCTCTTGTACTCGCCTAATGCATCGATCGCGACGAAGTGTGATAATATTGCTTCAGTGAAAAACGATATGACGGAGTGCGAATTAAATCAAATATTTTTGGGCGAAATTGCGTCCATTCAAAATTATGGAGCTTTTGTCAGAATACCGGGTACCTCGCAACAAGGTTTAATACATCGATCACAGGTATTATTAGATTCACAAATATATACATTAATATTAATATTTCCAAGGTAACATAAAGCATTGATATCTATGCAATTCTGTCAGGTAAGCTCGGCTCATGTCGACAATGTTGCAGACATTTTGCAAAAGGGCGAACGGGTCTGGTGTAAAGTGATATCTGTGGCGGAGGATGGCAAGATAGGACTGTCCATGAAACATGTAAATCAAGGAAATGGTATGGATTTAGATCCTAATGGCGTTGAGTTACAAAGGGATATACAGCGACGGAAGGCTCCAGGAATGATTCAACGTAAAGCCATACAGTTGGAGGCGGTACTCAATACCACATGCTCAAAGTGTGGGACTAGAGGACATTTGTCCAAGGATTGTTTCATGTCTCCCGATGGGAAAAAGTACGAATTGATTCCGGAAATTGAGGAAGAAAGTATTCCTCCAGACTCAGTTGAGGAGAAGACGGAGAAAAAGGAAGAAAAAAAGCATAAATTGAAAAAGAAAAAAAAGAAGTCAAAGAAGAGTAAGCAATCTACCAATGACAGTAATATGGAAGATAAAGAGAAAAGTAAGAAAAAAATTAAAAAATCTTCCAAAGAACGTAAGAAGCACAGAAAGAAATGTAGCAGTAGTTCAAATGACTCCTCCGATAGCTCGTCATCCAGCCATGATGTAAAAGCCCATAAGCGAAAACATTCAGAGGACTATGAAACTCGTACAAAAAAATGCAAACATTCTAAAACCAAGCATCCAGATTAATCGATATCAACTAAACGTTTTTTCGTAGATATAGCTTAACTTTAATATGTGTTCTACATATATGATATGCAATTTCTGACATACAAAACATACAAAATAAATGAAAATTGTAAAAATCAAACTTACTGGTGTCAAATATTTGTAAGTTAGATGTACATTTTCAGCTAAAACATCGGCAGCTAGGTCGTAATACTGATATTTACAGTATAAAAGTAACAGATTGGCAAAAGTCTCAGGTGGGAATGGATTCTGCTGCAGCAGAAATTGTAATTTCTCGAATCCCTCACTCGGTTTTGTGTCCATATTTATTAATGCTTGATTATGTAAGGTAACAGCATCGAGTTCCTCCTCAGAACGCGGTGGCATGTCTGTTAATGCCTCTTTCGCCGCATCGTCTGTAATATTAACGTAAAGAACACTGTGTAAAAAGAATATCCATTTTTCAAATCGAAATCTGCAGTAACGCATAAAATTACAATTTTGCAATTGGTATTCTATGGCGGCTTTCAGGTTGAACGCTTCTGTCAGAGCTGTCTCATGCAGAGTCAGTGTATTTCCGACACTTCGAACTTCGATACCCTCAGTAGTCATTCCCACACTTAGCTCTGGATGTTCTCTTATACCATGTTCGATAATACTAGCTGAAATGTAATAAAGTTTAATTGAAAATAAGCAAACAAATGCGACACTGTTTTATATAAATATAACTGATGAAGATAAAGATTTTCATTATACCTATATGTTTCAATGATGCTGCGTACTCTTTCAGCTTAAAATAGCAAAGGGCAACATTGTACGATAGATGAGGTTTGAAACCTGCAATTTGTAATGCGTTTGCAAATTTCTTGAGAGCCTGTTCATATTGCTCCTCCTAAAAGATACAATTTGTATACATTTATCAATTGAACTTATTCATAGCTATTTATCTACCTTGTATAAAAGACACCCCAGGTTGACTTCCGTATCGACATCATCGGCGGGACATTGATCAACGAGATTTTTCGCAGCGACCATATCTTCCTGCCCATATTTTATAGCTGCTTGCAGTTTCTTCACCTTGAACTCTAAATTACTTTGATTGATAATACTTGAACAGACCATCCATGCTTCCTGATACATACAAGCTTGATGCAACGACTGGGCATAGTAAAGCTTGTATAGATTTTCCTCTGGACATAACTGGATCAGTTTTTCATAACATTGAGCTGCAGCTATGAAGTCTTGTGTGTAAAAGTAACAATGAGCGAGAAGGGATAAACATGGTCTAGACTAAAAGAATATTTTATTCGATATTGACAATGTTTATGCAAGAAGAATATATTACACCATAATATACATACATCAGGATGAGAATCTAAAAGATTTAGCAGAACTTTAATAGTTTCAGTATATCGCTGTTCTTTTATCTGAAATAAAATCGCGTCCAATTACATATTTATCCATTTTCAGATAAAAAATACTGCAACGTTTGTTTTTTATATTATATATATATAGCTGGTGATATATACCATTGAATATATTGTCTTCGTATACTCTCCATCTTTTATATGCACATTTTCTATGAATGTAGACATTGCGAAAATTAAAACACATAAAACTTTAATTAATATTTAGTATTATTCCTTGCTTGAATATATGTGAAATATGGCTGCATATTAAGCATCTATTCGCGCGCATTGTTTTGACACTACCCAAGATTTGTTGTCAAGGAAACGACGTGAGGAAATATTTCAAAGTGTTTCAGATTGCTTATTATTTATATCTCTATTACATAGAAATAGAAATATATTATA